TGCCATTGACACCATCCCTACAACTCTTTTCAAAACTTCTCAGGCCTCAGTTTCACTCTGTTCATTTTTCTGCAGCTCAAAATGCACCAAACTTTTCCTTCTTTCTAGCTGGGAAACTCTGGGGACAAAACACAAACTAATGGCTATCAGAGAGAAAACTGTCTCTTCAAAGAAAGAAAAAAATCTGTCCTCAAATTAACAGCGCTTGTTTAAGCATCTCTGCTGGAATCCAGTTCTGCTGCATTAGAGGGGATATGCAAATAAAACTATCCAAACCACTGCCACTTTGGTGAACATGGGTACTTGGATAGATGACACACAGGTGAAACACAATCAGTTGTGAATTACAGGAGTGAAAGAAAGAGGGAGACAGAGTATGCCAGAGACAGAAATCCTGTAGGAGAGCACAAACACAGCATTAATGAGAAATGGCAACATTTAGCATTCTGCACTGACTGTGGCCCTCAGTAATGCTGACTTCTGAGTATCTTCTCTAGTTACTCAGGCATCATACATCTTTGGCATGTTTTTTGTGCAACAAGAGTCAATACTAGATGTTATGCTTTTTTTTCCTCGGTTGGTGGGTAACCATCTGTTCCTACGCAGATACCTAAAACGAGCATTGACGTGGTCTGTTTTAGCTTGCCCTTTTTTGCTATAACATATTGAATGTATTTTTGCAGTAACAAATGAAACTAATTTTGAGATTCCATGTGTCTAATTTAGGCATTTACTTTACACTTAATTTTACAGAAAAGGTAGACAGGAGATGTCCTTCTCTGTTTTCTGCATAGGCAACTTCAGAGCTACACCAGTTTGCTGTCACTGTAGAAGCTTGTGAAAGGAGAACTATGATTAGTATGAACAGAAATGTATTGGTGCAAAGTACCAGAGGAAATAACCAGAGAAGGACATAAGATATTAACAGCGCTGAGAACACTGTTTTTTCTTAAATTATACAATAAACCATACTTTTCCTTTCCCAGTCTGACACTGAACTTTGTGTAACTACACCAACAATGCAAGTATATGTTAGGTATTTGGATCCCAAGGTTAATTATTAATATTGCAATTAACTACTTGTCCTGAAAAAGATAATATACATGAAACCTATGTTCAATTAACTGCAGATGGACAGTAACTCAGCATTACTGACAAGCTGGGACAAATTTTAACTTTTTGGGTGCTGACATTTTACAATATACTTGTCATTCATATGCTTTCCCCACTCACTATCTGTTCAAAGGCCAAATAGCTTTACATGCTATTTCTTTTCACTGGAAAATATAACTTCTTGTCCTAACTCACATCTTGTTGGTTTACCAGCTAGTTTGCAAAGCTGAAGATCATAGCTGTTACTCTTTAGATTCTTCAGAGCGATGTTCCAGCCTGTGGCGGAGAGCCTCCCCATCTAGTTTTGAGATCAATAGATGTTGTTGTTCATTATTATTAAACATTTAAAACAGATACTTCAGTTACACAGTACTAGAGATGTGCCTGAGTGGAGCAGAAAGCAAAGCAAAACACGCCTAATCTTACACTCTAAGGGTTTCCTCTGTGGTGGAAAAAAAAAAAAAAAAAAAATCAGCCTTACTCTTCTTTCAGGATCATTCACATGCTGGCCAACCTGAGTGATCAGTTGTGCAAGTCTGGATGCTACCTGGGGAATTGATCCAGGTTAAAAAGTAATCCTACACAAAACATCACACAGACCTGGGGAACAAAATGTTCTTCTTTGTGATGTTGTTGGAGTACAGGTTTCAGTGAGAAATGTCTTTGGAATTATTTTATTTCACTTCTAAAATACCTCACAGAAAATTTAACATGAACACATACACATGATTAACCCAAGCAGCTCATTCTAGGTTCCTGGCCGAGACCAGGTTGGACTGGTCTGATCAACCACTCCATTGGGTAGTGGGTTCAGGCCATTCTTTGGGTGTACTGTCACACATAGTTTGGAGATAAAAAAACAATTTGGGCAGAAGTTCAATGGAAGTTGAGAACCGCCCTCCAAAATCTCAGCAAAAAGCAAAAGACTTCTGCACCTTTCCAGTCTTCCTCACTAATGCTGTTGATTAAAAAAAAAAATAAAAATAAAAAGGAACAAAAATTGAAATTAGCATCTAAACAATTTTGAAAATCTTTCTGGACTTCTTTCACTTTTTTGCAAGTTATATTAGTTCTCTAATCTCTGTCTGCGTTAAAGATAAGCAAATATGGAAAGCAAGCCAACCAGCACAGTGACCGCAGGTTCACATCTCAGTTAAAAAGGAAACATGACATCTCTAAAATTATTCGGATTCACCAAGCTGGGAAGTAGTAGCACAACATCTCCGTGGGCACTGAACAGAGAGCAGAGAAGGTAAGTATGCCTGAAATTATTAGAATGGTAGAGCTGAGATTTAAATGATGCTCTACTACCCTCTCAGTAAAATAATTGTACATAGACCTCTTTTGTAGACCATTTGGGAATGCACTGCCAGAGAGAGCCACAGAGAACCAGAGGCTAGAGCTGGTTCATGCTTGAGAAGAGGACGACTGTCCAGAGCAGGGTTATCTTAGTGCTGGTGTGGAAACTCACATGGGCTTTTCTGTATCACTCAACAAAGAAATTGGAGTCGTAGATGTGAGATAATTAACTAAGCAGAGTAAAAGTGTGAAGTCCCTGTGGATTTAGGAGACCAACTGGCAGACACCTTTGTGTCTGCATTTGGAGACAGATTTTTGAGGTGTCTTTCAGACACGTAACTGGCTGGTATGAGCACACCTGCATGTTTATTTTTTCTCTGATCATATACACTAGATCATGAATAGGCTTTCCAGGAAAAGGGGCAAAGCTTTTTTTTTGATAGTATATTTTTTCATGGTATATTCCTACACCTGTAAGAAACAAGCAGTGCAATAACCTTTGTCCCAAAGTGACGTAAAAACTGATAGTTTTGACAGAACAAGATCAAAAAGGTTTCTGTATACTGTGCATTGAATGTGTCCATTTTTTGTTTCCCACAAATTCCTTTTTCTTCCATATCAGTAACATTTTTCACTCATTCTCCATATCATTGCATTCTTGGGACTTCCCCAGCTTTGTTATCACAACTTGAATTTAAAAGTGTACCAATCCCTTGTTTGCTAATCGTGGTGTTTTCTCCATTTAGGGCTCTGATTTGTTGGGGGTTGTTTCAGTCAGTGAACCACAGGCTTTGCCGTGAGGCTGAAGCACCTCACAGGCTTTCATGCGTGTGATGCCTGTTGCCTGGAGGTGAGATGGGCAGCCCCTCAACACAGGCAGCCGCGGCTCCCTTCGCTCCCCTCCCTGTCCTCCCTGCCCTTGCTGCCCTGCTGGCACAGGTGGAGGGAGGGCTGTGCAAACGCAGGGGTTGGTACTCCCAGGAGGGAGACATCCAGACACATTTCTTTGCCTGAGGGTCTTTGGCAGTGAAACTGAGCTTGTGCATCCCCTAGAGCAAAGGATTTTTTTGTTGTCTAATGATACCAACTGTGGGTGTTAACAGGAGAAACTAAGTTTGATTGATCTTATAAAATAAAGGCATTTATTTGTCTTAAAACTTGGTAGCACTGCATGCCCAAGGAGTTGTTTAGGTCAGGGCCTGCTACAGCCTTTGCTGCATCTGACGGATGTCCATACGTCCTCCTGTGGCTGCTGGAGGGAACCCGGCCCCGGCTGTCCCAGGCAGGGTGGGCAGCAGTGTGCTGGTTTTGGCTGGGATAGGGTTAATTTTCTTCATAGTAGCTAGTATGGGGGTATGTTTTGGATTTGTGCTGGAAACTGCGTTGTTAATACAGGGAATTTTTTGTTACTGCTGAGCAGTGCTTACACAGAGTCAAGGCCTTTTCTGCTGCTCACACCAACCCATCAGCGAGGAAGCTGGGGGTGCACAGGAAGTTGGGAGGGGACACAGGCAGGGCAGCTGACCCCAACTGACCAAAGGGATATTCTGTACCATAAGATGTCATGATCAGCATATAAAGCTGGGGAAGAAGTAAAGAGAGGGACATTTGGAGTTACAGTGTTTGTCTTCCCAAGTAACAGTTATGTGTGATGGAGCCCTGCTTTCCTGGAGATGGCTGAACACCTGCCTGCCAATGGGAAATAATGAATGAGTTCCTTGTTTTGCTTTTCTTGCCTGTGCAGCTTTTGCTTTACTTATTAAACCATCTCTATCTCAGACCATGAGTTTTCTCACTTTTACTCTTCTGATTCCCTCCCCCATCCCACTGCCGGGGAGTGAGCGAGCGGCTGAGCCACAACCATGACAAGCAGGTGTCCCCAGCCATGGCAGTGGCCACTGGGCCCTTTCCTCCGCCTTGCCAACCAGCCCGAGCAGCCACGCCACCAGAGATCCTCAGGTGCTTTCTGAGGCATCCAAGCAGGAGGGCACATCCTTGGCTGCACAGGTCCAAGGGCAGAGCTCCTGCCAAAGGCAGCATTGCTGGTGCAGCACAGAGGGGTGGTGCAGGGCTGGGTGGGGAGCAAGCCCCTGGCCAGAGGAGTTCATGCACCAGGAAGGCAAAGGGGAAGCAGAGCACAAACTGGAGACTGGCTAACAATAACAGGTGGGATCAGTGGCCTCACTTCCAAGGACTGCTTGTTGTGGTGAGTTCAAATCACTTGGCAGGTATATGCCTTGTGCAATCAACTGATTCAACAAATCTGAGCAAGGCTGATATCTCGATAGTGCAGCAATGGCAAACACAGCAGTCTGAGAATAAACTTGTGTATGAGTAAAGGGTATCACTAAACATCTTTCTTTTTTTTTCATCAGCAATGTATCCTGAATGATGTACTTGTGAAAATCTGAAAGCTAAATTTCAGTGTATTGTTTCTAGAATTTTTCTGAAATGCATTTTGCTAAAATTTTCCAGCACTGGATTCTTTGTCTGAATTAGTCATTTGTTTGTTTGTTTGTTTGTTTCTGGAGATGACAACCAAAGAAAAAGATATAACTTTATATTTTCTTATTGCAGGCTATTCGCCTATAAGGACAACAGATTAACAATGGAACCATCAAAAGAATATGTATTCAAATACAAAGGCTTTTATTTTGGTGTAATTACTTCAGTTGAGCACATAGCTTCCCTGGAGGATTTTGAAATCAAAGACAGTGACATATTTGTAGCTACTTACCCAAAATCTGGTAAGAATGGAACTGTTTCTAAAGGGGGGGAAAATCTGCCTTTATTCAGCCATCTATCTGCAGAAGTACCAAGGGTTGTTAGCTTTGCTTTTAGACCTGAATAATCTCTGAATATATGCAGTGTAGCATGAAGTACAAACCCTGCATAGCTGTGGCCTGAACAGCCAGACACCAGGCTCCTGCTCGTGTCCAGACAAATCGGTCTAAGTTGTTCTTAGACTCAATCTTGTAGGTCTACTCAGAGCAAGCTACACACAAACTAAACTGACCTCCTGTGCCTCACAAAACATATATATAGCTTTGGTAGGGCTGGGTGCATGAGTGTTGGAGATGATTGTGGGGTATCTGGACTGGTTTGTGAGCTCACATGAAAAGTGGTTTGGGGGTTGCTGCACCCAAATTGCAACCAAGCAGGAGATCAAATAAAATGTGAGTCAATGATATATACCCCCTTTCAAGGATAATGAAGTACTGTTTACCTACATAGCAATACAGGACACTAGAGTGATGAATTCTGCATTTGTTCCTCTGGAGCAAATGCAACTAAGCAACCACCTGGCTTCGCTGTCACCTTACATGAGATATAAGGCCTTGATATGCCTAGACCCATATATCCATACAGGTTAACCTTATGCTCTAAAACTGGTCTACCCATTTTTCAAGACTGCATTGCCTTAGTGATTAGTAATTAAAAAATTGATCATGCATTAAGCAGTGATTTATGACTAAAGCTTTGACATCTCTGGTACCAACCTGTGCTTGTACTTTCATGGCCTCTGATGTCCTCTTCCTTTTGTGCACTTGGGAACATCTGCCATTATGCTTTTGTTTTTTTTTTTTTTTCAGCAGCCTTCAAGACACAGCCTTCGGATAACATAACCAGTGTTTTGTTAACATATGTCCTTTTCCTAGGGTCACTGAACATCTTGCTGGAATTCACTGTTCCCTCAGGTATTCAGTGACATACCTGAGGCAGAAAGACATTCTTGAGCGAAGCCCAGATGGAGTGGCAGGGAGCACCAGGTGTGGTTGTGGTGAAGGAAGATGTGATATGAGAAGCCTGTGGAGGGGTCATGGGGGACAGAGCGAGGGGACAGGGAACCCAGGCAATGCTAGCTCATCATCAGGAAGCACCAGGGTGAGCTGTCCAAGTAGGGCAGAGAGGGAGGACGAGAAGGAAGTATTTAAGGGCTAAAGATGTTATGGCACTGAGATGAACACATCTTTAGAAGTAGGAGTTTTGTGTTGCAAAGTGATGGGCTACTCTGGCACAGGAAGTAGTTGGAAGATGATTTTGAGTTATGAATTGCACAGAATGTCATCTCTCTCATTCACACCTTGTCCTCTATCCTGCCTCACCATTCTCTTTCTTCTTCACCAGTTATCAGTCTAAGATACCCTCCAATCCTTCTGTGTAATCTCTACCACGGTGCAGAAAAATTGCCCAGGTTGATTATGCCAAGCAGAGCAAGACAGTCAAGACAGCTGTGAAATCACTGGGTGTTATTCCTCTGAGTCCTAGGGTTATTTCTTTTTCTTGCCCAGTAACTTTAAATCTACAACATGTATACAGTCTGATCTCCAGAACCAAGAGCTTCCTTCCCAGGTGAGGTCTTTAAAACTGGGCTTCAGTTTCAGATGCCTTCCTTTCTCTGTGCTTGTTCAGGGTAACCTACGGCACACTGATTTGAATTTTCTCAAGTGTCCATCTTTACTAGCCTGCGGTATAAAAGGGGAAAGGAACCAAAGCTAGTATAGTGCTGAGAAGATCAGAGGACCTGGACAAAAACAGTTCTGCTCACTGCCCAAGTGGGCTAATCATTAAGGATTTGCCTCCCACCATTACCAGCTGGCACATGAACACACACTGGCACGCAGGTCAGCCACCTTCAGGGTCTTGCCTTTTTAGATCATCATTGCCAGCAGCTGTGACCCAGGAATCAGACCTTCCCCAAGGTCTTTAGAGAGCTTGTTGCCACAAGCATTTGCTTTGTGGGGCTCATTTGTGCTTTATAAACATGGTATAATCAACTGTTTGTTTCGTGACATCTCAGAACACTTTGCAGGAGTTCTGGAAGCAAAGGTCTTTTCCGGATCCACTCAGTATATTTTTAGGTGCATGGCCCACAGAGATGCAGCAATTCATGTTGCCACAAGAGGGTGAGGACAGACATAATTTGTGTGGAAAAAGTTGAGTATACTGTGGGAGGAACTGAAAGCTTAGTTACTGGCCATGGTCTTCTGCAGGGACAAAACAAAAATATGCTTCCCTTCTGCACTCAATGGTCACCAAAACAATGTTTGCTTTCTTCAGTATGTGAGGTTATATTTATATTCACAAAGTGAAACTCATTATAGCTGTGTAGAGGCTCTGGTTATGATAATATATTATCTTTAATTAAAAAAAAATCAAGCAAGGTTCCATATAAAGCTTTCCTTCTCAGGAACTGTGTGGACTCAGAACATTGTGAACTTAATACTTCATGAAGGCCACCGTAATGGAACAGAAAATGTGGAGAATATAGACAGAATGCCATGGCTGGAATACAACATAAAAAACGTGGATTTTACAACTCTTCCTTCACCTCGTACTTTTGCCACTCATCTGCCTTACTACTTAGTTCCAAGAGACCTGAGAAACAGAAGAGGACGCGTAAGTGATGTTATTTTTACAATTTCCTTAAACCCAATCATGCCACTTTGCCTCAGTGAATTGGTGCAAATCCTACCTTTTTCCTCTTTCAGTTCCCCATGTCTTGGTATAAATATCACCTGCTTTGTATGTGTGGGGAGATCAAGGGCCTTCTAAAGCCCACTCCTGTTTCCTTCTGCCAAACCTCTCAGCCTCAGCACTGTTAGAGAGAGGAGTGGTGCATCTCAGGAGGATCTGCCAAGGTCAAAGACTTGGACTGACTTTCCTCTTGTGAAAACACTCAATTCCAGCAAAGTTATAAGTCTGAAAAAAGTCTCCCACACTGAATATGTGTGGGGAGATCAAGGGCCTTCTAAAGCCCACTCCTGTTTCCTTCTGCCAAACCTCTCAGCCTCAGCACTGTTAGAGAGAGGAGTGGTGCATCTCAGGAGGATCTGCCAAGGTCAAAGACTTGGACTGACTTTCCTCTTGTGAAAACACTCAATTCCAGCAAAGTTATAAGTCTGAAAAAAGTCTCCCACACTGAAAAGATGAGTAAGGCAAGACTATAGTATGGAATGTGAGAACTGCCTTTTCTTACTCTGCAGTGCTGTGAGTTTCTGAATAGGACCTTCAGTTGTGAACTGTGCCGTAGCTCCAGGCCTGTCTCCCACGGAAGATGCCTCCTTACACACAGGTGTCACCAGGCCACTGTGCTACGGCTCGCTGACAGAACACAGACGTACGGGCATTCTTCTGTCTCTGCCCGCAAACATTTGTAACCTCCTAAGAGCAACATGCCAGACTCTATTTTCTCTCCATAATTAGATGCTAAGTGTTAAGGAGCAGAAACTTAGCAGAAGCTGGCACATGTTGCCAGCTGAGAGGCAGGAGGCTGCCCGTCTCACTGGTGGTGCCTGGTCTGTGCCTGCGGCAGCAGCTCTCACATGGTCAGGAGTCAGCAGGAGCCAAAACAACCCTTGCCCGTAACAGCTCCTTCTTCTAAGATGCCAGGGCTCCCTGACACGTCATTCAAACTCTGCCTGCTTGCTGCCTCTGGCACCAGTGCCACAGGCCAGGAGTTTGGGTCACAGAGTACTGATGCTGTCAACAAGACTAAAGCTGGGATTTACAAGAAACTCTTCTTCATTTCATCATGAGTGCACACAGAAATGTGAAGCTGAATCAACCTAATGATTTTCTAGTGTTGTTGTCGCAACCTGATCGCCTTGCGCAAGGGACCAGTATCACTGAAGCCAGTAACACTGATCCCTTGAAGAGAGTTAGCTGCAGGCAGTGAATGACTGCAACTAGAGAAATACCACAACCTATAAACAAATTGACAGCACTACGTTATCCAGAATTTACCTAATGTGATTGTCACCTTTCATACATTTTTAGTGGGATCTGTATGGAAAACTGCACTGATGGTCAGGGTAACGGAGCTCTTCAATGTCTCTGAGACTAGTCTTCTTATTGTTTTGCAGGTTATTTACGTTAGCAGGAACCCTAAGGATGTTATGGTTTCTTACTACCACTTCTCCAAATATGTCTCCACACTAGAGAACATACCAGATTTTAACCTTTTCATGGAGAGATTTTTAGCTGGAAAAGGTAGAATATCTTTTTTTACTATGGAGCCCAAATCCTATTCCATGACCTCAGATTGAATGGAGATTAATTATATCAATAAATATCAATTACCAGAGTTGTCAGCTGTGCTGTAACCTGAAAAAGCTGCAGAAGGCTGTCTGAGCTTGACACAATTTTCTGAGGAAAGTTTGTCCAAAGGGAGTAGCATAGTCATGGCTTTGCTGCTCCGAAACAACATGCAAACTGCTTTTTTTACCTGAATGGGATGCTGATTCAGTATTATGACTGAAAATCTCTTTAATACCTTCTGCACTTGGTTAGTGGAGCTGAACCCATAAGAATAAACACTGTACAGAAAAGACAGAGAAGCAGTTTTTTGCTTCTGCCAGTATTAGTTCAGATTAGTAGAAACAAAAGACGACTTGCCACATTAGCTCAGAAAATTGTCACAAAGGCCGTGAGCATGCATACCTCAAATTAACAAAAAATATTACTTAAAAAACCCTTGAAAAGACCAAAATGACTGATAATTTTACTGTCTTACTACTATCTGTTAATACTATTTATCTTTATTTTTTTGTTTTAATAATTTCTTTTGCTAAGTACTTGCCAGTTCGTGGCTGGATCACGTTGCAGGCTGGTACAATCATGCAGAGGATTTCAATATACTCTTCCTTACCTATGAAGAAATGAAAAAGGTGAGGTCAATTAGTATCACTGTATTCAAGATATACTCTTCCTATATTGAGTGCATTTTCAGACAGCTCTTTATAATTACGCTTTATATTGGAAAGTGCTTAATCCGTAGATTCAAACTGAGACTTCTGAGAGAATGAAGTCATTTGTCTCATTGGTTCAAGTTCTTATCAATTACTGGACAATTATTAGGTAAAACACTTTCCAATATGACAGAAGTTATCTTCACTGACACCCCAGAAAACCCTTTCTGAAATAGTACAGAACGAGACTTTCACAGGTATCTTCAACAGGAACGTTCTGCTTATAAGGGAAAGAAGAGCTTAAGAGGCAGGCGTTAAAGTTCTTGAGGAGCTCTCAAATTGCAGACCAGAAGTTTCCTGCTTGGTGGCTGTCCACACCTTTGTGTGACTTCTCATTTCTCTGAGGTGGCTGTGCTTCTCCTTGCGGGCAAGCCCCAGAGGACCCCTGCCATGGCCGTGCAGCCAGCATCACATGTCACTGTACTGGTCCCTCAGCCTTCAGAGCCTGGGGTTCCTCTGGCTGAGCCCCTTGCTAGGACAAACAAGACTGACAAAACGCCCACGGGTTGAGTGCCTTCACAGTGACAGGTGCAATTCCAGGGGTGACTTTGCCAGGACATCTAACATGAGATGCAGACTGGGTTTGCAGCATGAGGACCAGAATGCAGAATTCCCCACCTCCAAGGGCATGCTACAGCGTCACTGCTCTCCAGTATTCAACTGATGCAAGTGAGACTATGCTCACATAAAAATTATGGTCAGTTTTGGACACAAATGTATGCCCTTTATTATCCTATATTCCACTATTGTATGCATTTAGTTCTTCACATCATCAAGATTCTTCAAAGTAACATTATTGCAGGATCTGAGAAGTGCTGTTCTGAAGATCTGCAAATTCATAGGAAAGGAGCTGAATGAAGAGGAAGTGGACAGTGTTGTGAGACAGGCTACATTTGAGAACATGAGAAAAGATCCCAGGGCAAACTATGAGAACCTGCCAGATAACGTGACAGCAAGAGATAATGGTACATTTCTACGAAAAGGTAAAGTGGAAGCAGTTTGATGTAATGATTATTTGATCCAACACTTCTTGGTGTGAGGTGAACCCAGGGTATCTGATCTCAGCTGGAATGCCCCATTTTCAGAGAAAGAGTTCAGGTTAGTGGCAAATTAAATTTGTAAGAGCAGTTTTATGGCTGTGGCATCAATTATTCTACCATATTTTCCTGAGGATAATAAGAAGGTAATGCTTTACTGACCATAACGCAAGTTGCAACAGGCCTGTCCGATACAGGAAAGGCTTGAAGGGCTGTACTCAGCGAGGGGTAAGATAATACATTTTTACTGTTTCTTTCTTTTCAAGGCACGAGTTACCTTAATAGTGTGAGAATAGGCCTTCTTGACCAACTACTCTCTGAGTCCATACATGGCACCCCTGGGCTCCTGGGCGTTGCTAAGATGTCCTAACACTCAGTGTGGGAGGAGACTTCCAGGGATTAAAGAGAGTGGTGCACTGAGAGAAAAACAAGAGGTGTTGCTTTTAATAATTTCCTCTTCGATCACAAAGGAATCAGTAAAACACAAGAATGAATGAGTGGATGACTTTATGAGGAGCCAGGTCTATGCTGTGTTTTATTCACAGCACCTAGATTTGGAAGCATGTCCTCAAAAGAGCACACAGAGCCTCACTCAGCAGGCCAATGACAGGGAGATGCTGAGGAAGCCAGAATTGCTTCCCAAGACTAGCACTCACTGTTTGCAGCAGGCTTCAGAGAGGTGTGTGTTCTGCTTCTCACCTCCCTTTGCTGCCTCTTTCCTCAGGCACTATTGGAGACTGGAAAAACATCATGACAGTGGCGCAGAGTGAAAAGTTTGACAAGGTTCTTAAAGAGAAAATTAAGAACCTGCCCATCAAATTCATCTGGGATATTCACGATGAAATGTAGGCTGGTTTTGAGTTTCATCATCCTTTGGTGTTTTTAGTGGATGGACATACCCAAAGTTCTGGAAGAAGAAAATACAGCCATTTTCAGCTATGTTATAGAAATAATAATGACGACAACTCAGTAAAAAATGTGAGTTGTCTGAGGAAGCTATTCAATTCCACCTGTCTCCTGTTTGTAATTTTTCAAGGTATTTTAATTAACTTTTTTAGTAAACCATCTTCCTTTCTTCATGGTTGCTTTTACTTTCACCAACTTTAATAATACCAGAATCGTAGACATCCAACTGAGGACAGATTAGTATCGCTAAAAGCTTTCTGAAAAAATGTTTCACTTGTGCACTTTGTGAGGTTTCTTTTGATAGAACCTTCAATGTCCAGACTAGAAGTAAGATTGAGCAGCTGTGGTATGCTTATGCTTTGTCCTGTTTCCTTGGTAAACACCAACACTCAACCCTTTGCTATTAAAGTGACCTTTGTGTTGCATTGTCTGTCATGGTTCTCAAGCTCATGTCTGACAATTTGTTACTTGAAATATTGAGAAAAAACCACAAGCCATAGTCATAGTACTTTTTAAGTGAGCGTCCACTCTACCATACCTGATGATCTGCTAGAGCTACTGATGTAAAAAACTACCAGCTATCTATGACTACATCCTTCCTCATATATCTATTGACTCACTATCATGTTTTAACCTGTCCACAATTCAGCTCCATGCAGTGGCTTGCCCATGGGCTTCTCCTGAGAAGATAAGTACAGAGACATATCTCGGATTTTTTTTCCATCAACAACTTAAAAAATATTTGCAAATTCAACAACTCTATTCCTGACATGCATCTGGTCTATGATATATTCACCTTTGCAAATAGTAATGACTTCTACGTTGCTTCCAAAGGGAGGTCCAGCTCTGCATATTTCCCAACTCCATCCACTGAAACTGCTCATAGACTATAGATGTAGTTCCTCTCCTCCTGATGTACACACTGTTAAGTCTCTGATACATCTCTAGCATTTTTTCCCCCCCGCAATAATTTTCTGCCCCTTTCTGGACAGCCTCAGTCAGGAGGGAAGAGGGAAAGGTCATTACCTGAGGAGGAAACATTTTGTTCCAACATTTTTTTCAGACACAAACCACACTTCCCTGGCAGGGGAGGCAAGTTTTGGACCCTCATCCCTGCTTCCTGCTATGATGTCTGTATGATCAAGCTATGGTGACTGCTTTTGGTTACTATTTAATCAATGTCCTACCAAGCAGCCACAGGAGGATACAACTTCTAATTTCAAAAAATTTCAAATAATAATTTTGATTTGAAAAAGAACATGTAACCTTGGCTTTCCAACTGTTTGAAAAACGTAAAAAAATCCTTCCAGTTCACATACTGGCTTTTTTGTTTACTTCCATCACTGGTCCCAAGGGACCAGCTCCGTCTTCTCATATTCAATCCACTCATTTCAGCCTTCTGATACATTGTACCTGCTTTATTCCTGGACAGAATTACTTCACGCGCAGCATGCTGTTAGCTCTTATTAGGCAAAGGTGACCTCATTGTGATGGGTTTGCCCTTGGCTGGGGGCCAAACCACGCATCCACTCACCCAATCGCCC